CACGAATCAATCAATTGGGTCGAACTAAACTACTACCAGCATCCATATATCATCATATATCATTAAATTTGAATAACTAAGGTCGGTGGTTCAACTTACGCAAAGATCCCCTCTGATGCTCTACCTACCCGTCATTCAATGAAGCCTCTACGTAATTCTCATCATGAATATAAGGGGAAATGCTATCCAATTGATTTCACAGTTTTTAAAAGTTATAAGAATTATTTTCCGGCTTACATTTAATCCCTAGCCTGTCAAATCCCATCGTGAACAACATCATGCCTTGTTTCGTAGTACACGTACCTGTTATGACTTATATATCAGGCCGCCCATAACACTGCACAACTGCGAAAGCAGACAACTCGATAGAACAATTTCCAACTATTCGATACGTATTCTATTTTCTATCAATTGAAGTGACTTTTAGTAGTCCTATCTCTTGATTCGGCTTTCGCGTTGATACATCCGAGAGGACATGACTCTTGTATAAAAAAAAAAAATTCCCCCATGATCACACAACCCCTCAATTCCACCAATTGCCCCCCCGAATCCTCGCGTGATCCCCCGCGCAAAGCCTCAATACATACGCGTATGTGCACACCCGCGTCATTCATCGTCAACTATGCGCCCGGAAATAGAAATCACCACCATCACGGACGTACTGTACCTAGGACCTAGGTATGTACAATACCTCCCTACCTCCCTACCTACCTAGGTATCTACTTGGTTTCTCCTTCTCCTTTTCTGCGGTAATTCAAAATCTCGCTTCTTGTAAGGCAACCATGTATATGCCCCATCCCTCATCCCTCATTTCTGCAAATCCGCCTCAGAATAGTATTATAGAGCGAGTTCTGCGTTCCACAGCCGTGCCGGTGGTACTGCGTTTGACAATGTCCAACGTGCCAAGCCGTAAAATTCTTCCTTCACCTCGAAAATATATAAAAAAAGAACGCGTCGGCCGTATACAGCTGTGCAACCTGCCAATTTCTCAATGGTCGGACATCATCAATCATCATCATCATCATGTATATCTTTCATGTAGGCCAAAAATTCAAATTTTCCTTTGGATATCAATCTCTCGTCATCTCGACCGACCGCCTCTCCTAGTTACCGTTCAGGAGTAATAGAACTCCTCTTGAGGTATGTAAGTAAGCGGATTTGTGGCACGGTCGTAAATCCTTCAATTGCCTACCTAGAGGTACCTTATTGCTGAATTACCAGCAGGGTAGGCACACTGCATTGATTCTAATTGTCTAGGTCATAATGAATCCTGGCGTCATGGTTAAATTGCTGACTCGAAGCATTGCCATTAAGGTTTGAGTGAGTCTTTTGGCTGTGTCGCTTGTCGGCGCTTAGGATGATTCGATTGGCAAGGTAGGGCAAGGTAAGGCAAGGCACCATTGAAGCCTTCTCCATCAAGCCTTGCGCCAGGCTCGACGTTGAACTCAATACCTCCAGGTAAGGTAGAAGTAGAAGGCAATGGGTTTGCCTATCCCATTGCCTCGGTTTCGGAACGGCTCTGGCCCCCATGGACTTTCCCTGTAACCTAGGTCTTTTCATAATGGTTTGGAGTAGGTAAATATTCTCTATTCACCGAAAACCATCATATGAATTACCATCTCCTATTTCGTCCTGATACATCATGCATAACGTTACCGGCGACGTGCGATTCGATCATCTTAGATCACCCCCCGCCTTCTCCCCTCCCTTCCAACGTTGAGCCAGCCTTTTTTTCACCCTGAGGCGCTATGTAAATACTACCTACCTACGCACATAGCCGGGGAGCCATGACACACCTATGAGCCAATTACCTAGCTCAGTAATCGATCGAAGATTTTGTAAGCCATCCCGACCTACTGATTAGCGCATCTGTGCGCCATACTTAGGTATGTACCCCCCACCCGATGGATGGATGGTATCGATGGATCCTACCCCTCGTTTTGTGAAATCTCCAACTCTCGGTTGGGAACCTCCTTAAAGGCAGGCTGCGTTGAAAGCATGGCAGCAGGCTCATGTCATACCTCGTGGTACCCATACGATGGACCACATGGTTGACGTAAGATACTCGCGCGCATCGCAAGTTTTCTAGATTTCTATCTCAAACTGCAATATTGTCGCATTTCTATTTGCCGCGCGTATCCTGCGCAGCTCGTAAATGGAATACCTATGATGGGTATGGGTGTGTGTACGTGTGTAGTGTGTGTATGGATAGGCTAGAAAAAGGGTCTGAGTTGCGAGTTGCCTAATACACAAATCACTATGTCACAAACTTTGAATCAGAGAGCCATCATTAATTTTCCCCCGGGGGGAGAAACCTACCGATTCGTCCTGCCGAAGAGAGAAACAAGGCAACAAGGCAACCGATTCCTCCAACCATCTCCAGACATGCAGGGACAGGATAGAACTGTAATATATGCCCGCTTTGAGGCTCAAATGGAATGAATGGTTCATTCCCAAATCCTCCTTATCCGATTGCTGGGATTAAAAATGCCCCGACGTACGATCTACCATCGGATATGCGAGAAATATCTCTAATTGAGGGACTTTCTATTTCTTTCTTTCTTCGGGTGCCCGCCGTCTTCATAGATATCTCTTGCATTTTGCATTTACTTTATTGCCGACGGACGCAATTGTTTCTTTTTTTTTTCTTCCGAACCACACTATGATCTTCCAGGCAGCCCAATTGACGAGGTCCTATCCTAGGTAGTATGTTGGTGATTTTTGAATACCTCTATCATGTTCGGCTTTAGGTATTAAGACGAGAGAGAAGTTGGCTTCCATGTTATCTTGAGACCTGCGGCACGCAGCTGCGCGGATGTGCGGGCGTGGCTGAAAAGGCAACTAACTTTCTCACTGGAGTCTCGGGAAACAAGGTCTGGGTCCCCCGGTAAACCCCCCAACACAAAAGGACCTGTCCTGGACACCTTGTTCTCGGTGAGCAATGATAATTGCGTAATGGCGCTTGAGAAAGGCTATCGGATGTCTCCAGACGTTATGGTATGTATTAATATAACCCTTAATTCCGGGGGGAAATAACACCTTGTATGGTATGTCTGGAGATTACGTCTTTGCGACTAAGTTAGAGGGGGGAAACTATTCACAGATTACTCACTCAGATGCCCTCCTTATATAAAAGTTTTTTTTTATTTGACTTGATTCATCATACATGCACGACGACCCGAGGTTATAACATAGGTGTGATCAGTAGTCGTAAGAGGACTTATGCGATATTCGTAAGGCTTAGTATGAATAGGCGTTGCCTCACCCTCCAAGAAGAATGCTTGTCGCTTCATTGGGAGTTGGTCCTGGGGAGGTTGGCAGGCACTTTCGTAATACAAATACTGCAACAAATATGATGTGCTTACTATAGGTAACCTGAAGGATGTGGATTATGGTAATAGGTACACGTTTAATACATTACGTTGCTGGTCTTCACATTAGATGTGTGGCTTCTCAGCCGCTAGGACAACCAATATACCAGGTACCTATCTAGGACATGACACCCCCTTACACACACATGCGTTAGGTACCTACATGTACTGCTTCCAGAATATCTAGTGGTGGAACTTGACGCCGTGATTGGACTACTATCCCGCAGGTATTCGTCCCCCATGCAGCACAAGACCTAATGGGGCTAAAGACGTGCATTACATGCATGTAAGACAACCTTGGTAGCCCTGGCCGGGCCCGTATGCTTATAGGTGTACCTACATGAATGACTACATGCATATCATTGCTTTGAGCTTTTACTGCATGCGACTTAGTACCAGAAGCGCTGCCGCGTAGAAGACTTAGCGAGATGAAGTGTTCAATTTATATCGAAGTTGGCTCAAATGATCTAGGCACATAAGCCAACCAAAAGAAATATGTAACCATACCCACGCAATCTACTACCTGATACGTTCCGAGCCATATCTAAATATTACCCAAGCCTAGGCCCAATATCTCGATAAACTAAAACAGCCACTTCGATAATGTGATGTAAGCGCTCAGCTAGAAGATGATGCCTGCGAGGCTGCCCTCCCGAGATGTGAAACTAACGAAGAGTCCTGTACTCCCAATGTCAATAGGGTTTCCTTTCTACCTGATGACCATGAGGCTCCGAACTAGATAAACCCAACAGATAAGCCTTGCGCTTCCGATCTCGCCCAGCGGATAGGGTAATTAGAGCTCTTAAAAGATAAGCAATGGGGGCTGATGTTAATTTCCCGGAGAGCCTCATATTCTTTCCTAGTTGCGGCATGACCTAGGGTTGATAGGTAGGTATCGTTGGGATGCGTGTCGTATTTGACTATTTGCACTTTGAATCCGCGTAGATTGATAGGTGAAATCTTCAAAGGACCGTCCAAGAACCGTCCAAGAACTTTCCCAACTCATACCCAATCTTGTCTGGACCTCCACGCACACGAGATTGTAGGCGAATGTGCAGCTTCTAACAGGCAAGGCTCGCATTTGGTTACTCGTCTTCTCAATGAAAGTAAAATATGGCTGCAAGCTGATAGCTGGGTCATGCAATAGGAATCACATGGTAGGTACGGGATGGTTGCCTCGTCTGACATTACTCGCATCGAAGAGCTGGAACGTCCAATAAAGAACCGGTTCTCATAGATGTGGACTATGTAGGACATTGCTATTCCATATTATTGGTTTAATATACACACAACAATTTACCAGAAGATTTGAAATAACTCAGAACGAAACTTTGAAGAAAGGATGTATTAACCTACTAGTTGGGAGTAATAGCTGCGGAAATATCAGTGCAGCAGTATTGCTGGTGTACATGATGTCCATCCTAAAACGAGTGATACGCCGAGACGCCTAAAAACATTGTGAAACCAGACAGACAGGGCCGCGCATACTAATGAGAGCTTGACAATCACGAGCTCCCATGGCTAGTGATATCCTTTGTAGTTTGAAGGGGTGGCCTGCCCATGCCAATCAGGTGTTGTAATCGGAACCTTCGCAAGCGGCATCATTGAACAGCTTGTTGGAATAGGTATTTATTGTCGAATTATGGGCTTGTGTTCTAGAACCTTGTCGACATCTATCATATCTTCATCGTCTTTTTCAGATGGTGTGTTCCCCATAGTAGTTGTTGAATCAGACGTAGAGGCACGGGAAACTGTTTCAGACGTCTCGGAAACGTTCAGCATATCTGTATCCTTGGCAGTGCTTTCTATCTCTGTGTCATACTCGGTTGCGACACCAAACTTGTGTAAGGCTTCGTCGTAAGTAAGCCACTTGCCCAATTTTGCAATGCGACAGCCAAGCCATATAATTCTTTCTTTCCGTTCCCCAGTCATGGAAGCGACTTCGAAGTACTTTTCATCGTCGTCTATCTTGTCGTTGGAGAACCAATCGTTCGGGAAGTATTTATCTACCCAAACTAGACCCTTCATTGCAAAGTCTTCCGGCAACGGACGAGGAGCAAGTTCCTTATCTTGCCGAGGGAACTGCTCACTGTGAATCCGATGATGTTCACGGTAGGATAATAGCAGCGAATTTAGTTGAAGAGAAACCAGTTTCCAAGGGACTGTCTTTTCGATGAAGAACAGCGCATTCGGGTAGTGCGTAAGGTGAAATATAAAAACCAAAACCACGTGAAGAAACGGTAGGATCTATATGAGGAATTGGTCAGTAAACTCGACTCGCCTGATGGTAAAAAGGAGAACTTACGTTAAAGTCGCCAAATCTGCGTAAGACAACATCACACGTGACATCGAAGAGTTTGAGAGCTCCCTCTTCCGTTCTACTTGGTTTGTACTCGCGAGGGGTATTTTCTTCTCCCGTACCGGACTCGGTCATATCTTCCGGGTGCTGTGGGCGTATCGCTTTCAAAATGACGTTATTATCTTGGCCATATGATAAGAGACCATTGCAGTCGGATATAGCAATATAGTACCTGTTTTATTCTTAATATAACTTAAGAAACAAATGAGTGGATAAGTATAGAACGTACCCTGACTCCATCCATTTTCGAGTAGTTCGGCCAATCTGATTATCTAACATGCTGCTGAACTTGTCGACCGTAAAAAGAAACTCATCTGTGTGCTTGTTGCTAAATAGGATCCCGTGGGCTTTGACAAAAGCTACGTCGACTGCGCTTAATCGAGAGTGCTGAATACTGTTTGGATCGAGAATGGGATCGAATAAGGTCATAATCGACTCCCTTGCAGAGCTGAAAGGAATTGGCACACAGAGACTCTTAGTGTAATAATACAACTGCTGGAGAGGGTTAGGCCGCGCAAGGATTGCAAGATGATGGTACAGCCTCCCAGTAGTAGGGGCTTTATCGGACGCTTTAGAATACCAATGGCGGGACACAGAAGTCCAGACCTCTCTATCTCGTATATCGTCGTCCTCGATAGCCATTCTACATTATTTATTGTAAGTTGCTCTGCTGTAAAATTAGACTGCCTTTCTTCACTAACCTATAACGACCCAGATCCCCCAAGCACTCTATCCACGTGTCTTCGAAAGCTGGCACAGTTTCGTATAGTAGAGCCATCATAGAATAAGCCAAATAAATGAAAGTGAGCATGTGCTCCAGCGAATGTGGGAGCCGATGTCTTAGTAACTCAAGAAAGGAGTGAATACCGTGTCTCCACATACGGGCTGGCATGGCGTATTTGGATGCTAGCCGCCGCAGTGCCTGGCTCGCAGAAGGATGCTGTGACGCAAGGAAAAAATCGTGATGTTCGTGAAGAAGCGTTCTATGCAATGCTATCAATGCTTGCCATTGTTCATTGTTCAACTGGGTCTCATTCTGTGATTGCTGTGCATTGTCGACTTCGATGCATTTAGACTCGACCATAACAAGACCTGCATATATGCCCTTGACTTCAGCAATCAACTGCTCTTGACTGATAGGTCGAGTCTCCGGTTGCTTGATAAGTCTAGTAGATTCACTCTCATCCTCGACAGCATCTGACCGATTTCTAGGCTGGCTTATATTCCTTGTCTGGTGGGATAGTTGGTTTGGACGTGGAGAAGATGAAGAAGGAACGTCGTCGGGACTCCAAAGCTTGCCAAGGTGTGTTGTCCTTCTAAAATCAGGGTCGTTGGCACTTGTTGATACAGCCCGGGCTCTTGATCGCCTATGCGGGCTAGCAGACTGGGTGCGGCCCTTTATCGACGAGTCAGGGGATTTACGCCTTTTATGCGGGCTAACATCATTTCCCTGGTCCTTATCCCCTGATGGACCTGCACGACCTCCTCCTGGATCTTGAGAACTCAGCAATTGTTGTTGTTGTTGCTTATCAGCTGACGTTCTTCATTGGCTGTTAGTTTGCCCCCATGCTATTGAACTAGTGGAACTGAAAGTAACTAGGGATTTACCTTTTTACTGCTTCGGCACTTCCTTTTCTGATATCCTGAACAAGCTGGGCGATATTATCATTTCGTACCAGTTCTGGATGACGTGACTGCAGGTGATTTCGTATCCGCTCATCAATATCAGGGAACTCTTCTCCACAGTGTGGACATCGAAGCTTTGAGGCGTTCCGAAGATAATTGATATAGGACGCGGCGACATCTTTCTGAGGCATCTTGCAAAGATATAATCAAATTTCAGAGACTATTATTAATCGCAACTGTTGACCTCGTTCCTGGATTTGTGGTGCGGAAAATGGACGTCCCTTGCAGAGGTTTGACCTATTGTGAGTTGTAGAAATAAACTGATAGAATAAATAATATGAGGGAAATTACGATCAGAAATGGAGTGACCGTCTTTTATCCCGGAGAAGTATCGTTGAAGATTTGCTCATCGAACGTGTGACTTGGGCATGAAGTTAAAGTTCTTGGATATATGAGGGCTGCAGCACATAAGAGCAGTTTGGAAGGTCACAGAAGTTTTTTATCAAGCTGAAGTGGTAATTAATTCATTTGAGTAAATTTGGATTCTGTGCTGGAGCCCGCGATTTGAGAACCTTTCATGATAGAATTAGTATGTGACCCTTGTAAGTGCTGATAAAAGTGAAAGTGAGAGAGGTTCTTCGTTTGCAGTGAAGACTAGGCCCAAAGTATAAAAAAAAAATGCAATATTGCGGGGGTAGTGATTCAAACAGTAGGATTCATATATACAATCAACTTATTAATTGAGTATGTGAAAATGCAAGTGGATTGGATGAAATGAGTGACGACAACGATTCTCTTTCTTTTTCTTCTTCTTCTTCTTCTTCTTCTTTTTTTTTTTTCAGAGTGCAAGGCGCTCGTAAAAGTGGTTGAAAACGAATTACTCACGTAGTAAAATGACCTTGTATATGCTCTGGGGATCAGATTTAGATGCCATAGACGAGATTGAGTTGAATTGAGTAAGTCAAGATCCATCGGAAAGAGAGGCCCTTCTTAAATTTAAATAACTTGTATCAATTATCATATCAGTAGCGACAGAGCAGCTTGCAGTCCGCGCCCCTGCCTAAAGCTCTATTAGGTCTAATAGGTACCTGACCATGTACCTATACCTCGATAAGTGTGTACAGTTGCATGCTGGGTATACTGGGTACAATAGGAATGTGACGCTCCATACCTATTTGGGCTGACCGAACAAAATAGGTTGCCTTAAATAGTCCGCACAAACAGTTCGCAATTTTAAGCCTCAACATGGAGGGGTTCAACCCTCTCAAATTATCTGCACCTTGGAGTTTTTTCCTTCTCTTACGCTTCAACCTCGCCATTAGGTACCGGCACAACCACCATTGTCATCGCCATCATCTCGCCAATCACCTGTTGAACAGTTCAACAGTTCGCAAACCTCGTCCTCATAGCAAAATGGAAAACCACCATTGACACACCATATCATATCATACCATTTTCCCCTTTCTTCCAGGTCCGACCGCAAACTCCGCACTTTGATCTTCCAACAAACACATCCGCAAAGATCGCCATGATGCAACATTAGATGACGGAATGTCGGACGAACTAAACGAGCTGGGCGAGGCACCAAAGGTAAGAATTGAGAAGGATTGATGGCGAGACGGCGAGGCAGTCAGAAGAGATTCAATCGAGCCCGGCGCCGTTGTCCTCGTTTCCGCCAAATCCGGTCGGTGAGCTACGCTATAATGCAAATTTGTATAATCAAACAGGGTCAGCTGTTATACGGTAGCCTTGAGTCCTTCAGATAGCCTAGTTTAGGTAGAGTTAACTGTTGCATCTCTGCGTCAATGGGTCGTTAGTTCAAGCTGGAGAGAGCAGTATGTAGGTTGCATCAGCCGTAATGGTCATAAATCCAAATAAGCGCGGGTGTCTGAGGAGGTAGTAATCATGGATTTTGTGGCAAGCGTTCACCGAATAATAAGCTCATCTTCTCGATATAGAATAGAAGTAAAATGAGCATGATAGACAGTCATGCTCCACGCTCCATGCTCCATGCTCCACGGGCAAAGTTATACATTTTCTTCAAGGCTTCGGCGAGGGGTGATGTATCAAGGTAGTTTGTGATATTCGCAATCAATCATGTAGGGCGATTTGTGAGGGATTGTGAGGGGGTGGGGGTTGTTTTGATTTCTAGGTATTTATTTATAACGGCCAAAAGTCCTTAAGGTTAGGTCCTACCTACAAGGGGGGCTTGCTTTATCTAAGATCCTAGGATAGGAAAAAAAAAGTCCCTAACGTTAGGTTAGGTAAGCTTATAGTGGAACCCTAGTAGATCTGGTAAACTTACATTTCCATTACCTGCCTGGCGATCGCCCCCAATTTCTTGAGTAATAGGTACAATACAATAATCTTGTCCGTCACAAAAAGTCTAGCCGCAGAGCCTCAACACTTGAACAACGTCTTTGCTGAGCATAAGAACCATTTAAACTACCATGCCTTACATTAGATTAGGTAGGATCGGGATAGGAACAATACCTAATTTAGCAGCATTCGACATTCAAGATTCAGTCACATTCAAATCCGCATGATGTATCTGATGTATCTCTCCTAACGCCCACCCTTCCGAGACGGAAGAATCATCTTATCGAAACACATAGTCAAGCTTCACGAGTGAAATTCGGTCATAAGATGAAGGAATTCCTTCTACTCCTTTACAAATCTTCGGTATCCTAAATGGAATTCACATGCCACATTTCCTTCTCATGTGAGTCAATCCCCATGTTGAGTTACCAAATCTTATTATAAACCCCCACTCAATGATTTTTTTTATTAGATACATACCTCTCAGGCCAAGTTATATGTCATATGCCATATATGCCATGACATATCGTATCACGTATGTCGTCGCCACTTATCTTCATTTTTCTTGGCTATCATAAACTACCTAGGCAGTTGCCGAAGCTACCCGAAGCATCTAACCATGCTGCGGCTCGTTGCGGCGAGATATTTCTACCCGGAGCAGTGCCGAAAATTTGATCGGCAATGCGAAAGTCTCCCGCTTCTCGGGGAAGCCGATCATCGCCTCCGAATCGGATATCGCCGATAGGTACCTGTCACACAAATGTCGATCTGCCCGGCAACCCCCCTAAAACATGCATAGAGTATATATTATACTCCGGCGGCCTCTACGGATTTTCGAATTCCAGAGGATGGCGAGTTTCTCTTTACCAGATCCGAGACTATATACCATATGTCCTGAAACAGAATCTCCGCATCAAGTCCGCAAATGGCCAATAAATCTCATTGGACAGTTCAGGGAGCAGTGGAAAAGTGATGCGCGATGCTGAAATGAGCCACATCCGATATATTATCATGAACCTTGGCTGCGAATATATTTTCTCGGAACTCAGCTCCTCGTGGCAAAGTGGCGCACGTATCAGACGCGTCTAGAAGAAAACTCAGGGAATAGTCGCCTCTATATTCAATCTGCCTAAACAACGAGGAAAGATTTTGATCTACACTAACGATAAATCCCTGAGCTACGTTTTCTAAGATTCAAGCTCCACTCTATCTGTCTAACCCCTATTCTCTAGGTACTACCTATGAGAGGCAAATATCTATAAATATATGGCGGTGAACATGATCGCGTGCCCTAAATGAAATTTTTTTAATCGAAAGTACGACATGTTAAGCTTATCATCGACTTGCGGCAACACAAAACTCAGCTCGGGACATAACTTAATCTAGGCACACCGCCGAACTAATGACGACAGCAGGGATACTGATGTGCCTGCGAACAACCTTATAGGATACTCAACCTTGAAACGCTGTCCAATGAATCTTCAAATGCATACTGGATTGATAGCTATGTGTGTGGAAGTGAGGCAATGACACTAATCTATAGGCTTCTATGACTCTGGGGATACATGCTTCCTAAGTTCGTCATCATTGCTGCCTACTCTAGCTTGGTAGGTACAACCGAAGATCTTGCTTCTGATCTGCAAGATGGACAATACGCAAGAAGGCAACCACTTATCTTGGGAATTGGCATAAATCTAAGGTCTTCAGGGAGCCGCCATCCTTTTCACTGAAAGTTCAAGCGTCACCCTTCACCGAAGAAGCTCCCGCCTATCAGGTTCAGAAAATTGGGTATTCAGCTGCCTCTTTCGTAGCCAGCAGGCATCCTCGGCGTGGTTTCCGCTATCCACCTTGGTCCCCGGCTCTATTCAACTAGCCGGTTTGATGGGAAAGAGAGGTGGATAGCTACAGCAAATGCTTGTCCCGTCGCATTATATTAGGCGCCGAGCGGTAATATCCTACTAAAGAGTCATAGCCATCAGTCTCGATGTGTCATCCAAGGCGACTAGCGGGTATCTAGAGGGTAGCCTAACGGCAAATTCACACGTGAGATCTTGGCTTGTACGGGAGATTCTGCATGAGTCGACAGCGATCTAGTGGTGGAACGAACGCATGTCAGAAAGGCGGTATGCTTTTCCAGACTTCTATAGCGCACAGCATCGAATATATTGGATACTACCTAGGTAGGCACCTACGCTATTATGGGACGCCAGAAGGTATTCTAAAGGCGTCTACCTAATCATAACCCTTCAGTCCACAATCTCAACAAACACAGTGCTTTGTATAATATATGAGGCTTCAAAGCCTCTCTTGGTCATGTAGCCAGTGTATCACTGATATTTCAGGTTCATCGAATTTGGAATCTCGTGGACATTGCGATTTACAACACACAGAGCTCCTGGTTTGCTCAGGGGTCTGGAGCGGATTATTTGGCATCGTGTCATTGTCACGCGTCTGAGTATCACCCGCAGTCACGCGTTTACGTGTTTGGCTTAAGTAGCTAAACTAGGTACCGAATGACTAAAAGTATCTGACAACCTGGTACCGAATCGGCTAATAGACGGCGACGGGTAGGTATCATGTCATGAGGCTGAAGCGGCTAGGCCTCCCGACCGCTACTGAGGCGCTATATCAAAAAGAAATCCTGCTGAGTGGTTAATGCATTGAGCTCTTCCCGCACATCGCCTACATGCGGACCTATCATGTACCTTGTCAACTGCGAAGTATCAATGACCCCCCTAGATCGAAGTTCGATTATCTCGATCTAAGGTAAGTAACCAAGATATTCATTTCAATGGTAATGTAGACGAAATCTACTTGCTTATTTTTGTCATTTTTGTCTGTCTATCTGTTGCAATTACGTGTAATATTTGAC